AGAAAAGAACAAAAAAGGAACTAATCGAATAAACAAGTTAACGAACCGGTACAAAGGAATACAAAAACAAAAACAGACGAAACCAACACAGCATATAGAATATGTCACAAAAGATAACAAATTATCGTACAACAACAAAATAATTAACAAATAAAAACAAAACTGAAAATCAAGACGTATATGAATGAAACGTATATAAAACTTTCAAAAACAGCAAATACAACAACAACAAATCAAAACTTCTATACTTTCTAATGTCCGGGCCAAAGTGTGAATGTTGTTCATGTTTGTTTAAAAGTCGGTTGGGTACAATTTATAGCCGACCGCATCAAGCTTGTTTATTCGCTTAGGTTATAATGCTGCTTTTACTATTTAATTACCATGAAACTTTCATCAAATGTTAGACAATAATTGAAGTTTATAATAATTAATTTTGTTTTGAAATAGCGTTAAATAGTTTGTGTAAATGAAGCAATTTGAAAATAAAACGAGGGAAACACACAGAATTTTTTTTCCCCTTAATTTCAATATTTCCTTATAACTTTGAATTATTTAAAGCTATTTCAAAACAAAATGAACTATTATAAACTTCAATTATTGTCTAATATTTGATGAATGTTTCATGGTAATTAAATAAAAGCAACATCATAAACGAAGCGAATAAACAAGCYTGATGCGGTCGGCTATAAATTGTACCCAACCACCTTAATTGCTCCGTCCTAAAACATGAATTTATTTACTTACCCATTTGCTCCTCCATAAGGGTTAGTCTTGTGGTGTATATCGTTCCATGTCACGACATTAAAAACACCAGTAGTCACAGACCTTCCGATGGTAAAAGTCAGCCTTGCATTGAACGCTTTCTGGAGCAAATCTAACACTTCTCTTCCCTCTGAGCAATCGGGTAAATACGCTGTTCTTGAAGTTCCACTATACCTTTGTCCTGGATTTGGGTGTTCAGGACCTTGTTTTCCACTTGGGAAATTGTAGTCAATCCTAACGGTACCGTATCTTTCATATCCCGGAAGTCTTAAGTAAGGTTCCAGAGAGTGGTGCATGGTACCTTGTGGCATGTTTCCTGTGTGCACTCCATAAGTCATTCCACAGGTAGGACAAGCCTTGCGGTGCTGGAAAGCTAGATCAATACACTTCTTACAGAATTTGTGTTTGCACTTCGGCAGAACTGTAGGATCATGGAATCCATCTAAACAGATCGGGCATGTATCATCATCATCTTCTTTCTTTCCTATAAAAAGAGAAAAAAAGTGATGGATAGATGGATGGATATATACTAGATAATAAACGAATAAAACTAATATTTAAAAAAAC